ATACAAAGGATTATGTGAACTTGTAAACTGAACGGGAGGGTTACAAATTCGTTAGTAAAAAAAACGCGCTAAAAATCAATCTTAATGCAGTATAAACGTACAATTATACTACAATATTACATTTGTAATGTGTTAGTAGTCCACCAATGAAGATCTATAAATTTCACCAAGTTTACAGAATGTTCACACAGTCATCATAAGCGATAACTGCTTCATAAGGACGTGTACCAAACGGAATGATTTGCTAGCTAATATAAGGCATTTATCTAACGTCTTGATAAACAGCACCTCTTACTGTTTCAACCCGCCATCCTTCTCTAAAACAAACATTAATTTGTGGATTGACAGATTTTTAAGCAAGCTAATTTAAACTAATGTATCGAGTACATAAATTAACTCAAAATAAGTAAAAGGTGTCGTCTCTCACAGGAATTAGCATTGAGGATAAATATTTCGCTTCCATTATCTCCCGAACGCGACAAAAAGAGGCCAAAGTCGGATTTGTATTGAATTGTGTGAATGGAGCCCAAAGTATTGCCTACAGGTTTCAGAGCAGACATAATACAAAGATAAAAAGAATAAAATGTTACCGTGATTTGACGTAAAGTAAAGGGGAGTGATATAAAAAATGTTCTGTGGGAAAGCGAATAAATTGAGATTACTTTATTATTCTACTTTTATTGTGTGTAGTAAAAATATCCGCAGTGTTTGGAGAAAAATAAATTTAGGGCACGTGTCTACGCATTAATTGAAAGAAGCTACGCGTTGTGCGTAATGATTTAATTGGTAATTGTTCCATGCAACCGCAATGGCTAGAAAATTAAGTTAGAGATTAATAAAGACAGAAATTTCGTGTTCTTCCCCTTGATTAGCCATTCTAAAATGACATGTCAAGTATTCAAACTTCCAAATTTTCTGCAAAGCTCGCTATGAATAATTCAAATGTTTCGGATGATTCAAGTAATCAAAATTTTGTTATTATTCGTTTATGCTCCATTTGTTCTAATTATTGCTAATAATTGGAAATTGATGCTAAACACGTGATTGAATAACTCAAAATCACAATACCTTGCAATTGAAAAATCCTGCCCATACATAACTGAAATTTCTCAAATCATACTAAAATGTTGCCTGAATAATTATCAAAATATTTTTATACCAATAATTTGTGCTTCATTTGTGCTAATTAATTAATTGGACTTTTATTATGAACACGTCAATAAATAACTCAATGTGTTTTTGAGTGTGAGTAGGGGTAGTACACAGTCTCGTGCACAAAGTTTGCAGACTTAGAAGTCCCGTGCTCACGTAGAATGACTAACGATTTTTTTGTCAATTCGGTTCGAAGGACCATGTTCAATCTAGGTAGACTGAGTGGATTTGGGGTACACTGTAACGCTGTAGCTGTACTTTATTTACAATATTTACACGTTTATATACCAGTTTCCTTACGTATGTGCCTAGTGCCTACTTAATTGTTGTCCATCATTTCATAATATTTAACGTGAATTAATGTACTAACCTTGTACCCATGCAAACAATGCGTTCTTCCACTTAAATCCCACCGTATTGTTATTATAATCTAATTTATGCAAGAAGCTGCCTTTAATTATTTATTCAATAAACTTCTAGGTGCGCCACTTCACATATAATTTCATAATTGAATACAGTCAAATATTACAAATTGCACATAACAACAACTATAAACAAACTTTTGTCAACAACCCTTACAAAAAACTCAGACACAAACATACACTTAAAGACATTTACTCTCATCACAAATCTATCATCAAATATATCGCTGTGTAGCTACAGGGGGTGCGGTTTCTCTAGGTTAAAGCCCAAGCTGAGAGCGAGCCACCCTGTTCTTGAAAATTTACGTGTTGTTAACGTAATTCCGGTTTACGCACGGAAAAAGGCAGTAGGGACATCCTGTGTGTAAAATGTTTCAATTTATTTGATAGGAGCTGTACTGGGGGAATTTCTTGCATAGATACAGAAATGGAAAAATTTGTTGAGTTTGAAGTTTAGTTAATTATTGTAAAGTTAGTTAGTAACTGTTTAATTGATTGTTTAATTAAGTGACGAAAATGTAATCGAATTTAATGGGAATGTTTAAAGTTGGTCAGGTCTCATCGGAAAAAGTTAATTTATTCTTGATAACAATGCCAGGTGTGAGATAAGCAAGGTGTATATCAATAGGGGCGGCAAAGCAGTGTTTCGAGTCTCACCGGGAAACTGTGATATGGCACTGAGAAATGGAGGAGGTTGCTTTCTTAAATACCAAAAATGGGAATAAACTATGCTTTTTAACCTAAGGAAGTACGGCTGTTGTTTTCATGTCGAATGTAAAAGGTGTTTTTACGGTACCGAGGATGGGCGCGTTGAACCGTGTGGGGTAAAATTGTTTATCCCCCCCCCCTCCGCGAGGGAGCTGCCGTAAGATGTGAAAAACACGCGAAAAAATACCTTTTCCACTTTTCGAATTTTTTTCAATCCGCTTCGATCACCCCGAGAGGTAGGAGGAGGGGAGAAAGTTCGCCCTCGAGGCCGTTTTCGCACGTACGCTCGACTTTAAGTCGCGCGTTGCCCGTTCGATTGTACGAACGAATAGTGCAGCGGGCGAAGCGGAGCGCGTGTGAATTTTTCGAGAAAAAGTGCGCTTTTTGGGGGTAAAACGGATTTTCCCCCTGGAAAAATAGGAAACGTAGTTACGCGAAGGCTGAGGTGGCGAAACGCGCGCGGGTCGTCTAGACGCTTCCGACGCGCCGCTCGCCGAACACGCAACCCCCCCCCCCCGCCCTGCCCCGCGATTTAAATTATTCTACAGGTTTTTGTATTACTTAATGCCAATGTTTGTGTCAGATCAGAACCCAGTCGTGTCCTGAGAGGAATTTTAAAAAAGAGAAGAAAATAATGGTTATTTGAGCTAGCTAGGCTTTTTTGACTGCATACCATTACACACAGCATGAATTTTTGGCGCCCAACGTGGAGTCACAGTGACATCTCACTAACATATTATAAACAGTTATACAGGTATCAAAAACACTTAACCCACACAAGATTACTCTCCCAAACAAATCACATCTTACACTAACAAAAATTCTAACCCAAAGGACTCTTCCACCAACAGCCAGTACAGAATTTCTAAGTTTCGAACTATATTTAATGGACAAGGTAGTGCTCGCATATAAATACAGGTTTTAAACGTCTATATCTCACACAGTTTTTTGCCCTACAGAAAATTTAAGGTACCTAAGCAAAATGTTTGCAATTAAAAAAGCTACAAATGGATGCTGTATTTTTACGTATCTCGAGTTGTTTGCAGTTATTTTGAAGAGGAGGACCATTTTCAAAAAATTGCAGATATTGGTTTTTCAATTTTATCTCCAATTTTTTCAAATTTAGGTATTATGAACTGGTCCAACTTCTAAAATGTAATAATGATACATAAATAAAGAGAACTAAAAAAGAAGATAACGATTCATTTTAATTAGGGTAGTAATTAGGGGGTTGTTTCCACTGATTTTTTGCTAAAGAAATTAGGCATCGACCCTGTTTTCATCATAACTTGCTCAATTTTTATGCTAAAGACATTTTGTTTAAAAAAGAAAGATTTTTAGGTACTTTAAAAAAGATGCTATAAGTTTTTTTCGAAAAATGCTTTTATTTTCCCGTCATTTGACTTAGAAACTCTCTAATTTAGCGTTTGGCTTACAAAAAGTAACCTTTAACGAGTTTTGGCTCGGTTCGTAAATTGCCCCAACAGAAACAAAATTTCACAGCCGCGCTCTACCAGCTGATAGCCACAGCGCGTCTTTTGCGATAACAGAAAAGTTGTTTCTCACAGCAAATAAGTCTTCAATCCGTCACGACACCTTACAAAAGGACCCAATCCCAAACCTTCCTCCAACTACTTCCTTCTCGTTACTTTGTGATCCTGTCTCGTATAATAGACTCGGACTTTCCAGCAGTACGTGTTAAGGGCTTTAAACTCCATTTTACAACATGAAATCAAGTCCCTTTACGCTTAAAGCGGATACTTTTTCTAAGGTGATTCAAAATATTGCAGCGAATATTTCAGAAGTCCCGAGAAAACCGAGGAGATAAAGAACAAAGGTGGATGTGACGTAATCTTTCCGAGAAATATGACGTGTTTGTTCGAGAAGATTGTGAACCGTCCTTGAACACTAAAGAGCACCTTACAAAGATTGTTGTTTGCTATAGAAGCAAATGGGATTGTGTTTCGGGTTTAGTCCCGATTTCGACGCACTTTTGTTATGTTACAAATTATAAGTGATAAATAATAATTATTGTTCTAAATTAATCCATTTTAAGTCTGCTATAAATTTATTGTTAGTTAATTGCAAATCAATAAAAGCACGTAATTAAATTTACGTTATAATTTTTATAATAATTCTAATCATCGCTGTAAACGTTGTTAGAAATTCTTACCAATAGACAGCACTAGCATATTGATACAATTTGACCAGCATCGACTCGGGCGTTTTTATAAAATATTATCTAACTCGATGGAGGAGTACCCCTATACCATAATCCTTTAAAAAGTTTCCAATTATGCATTTATTTAAATATACAGTATGTTTATATTTCATGCTCTCTACTGATAAGATAAAAAGAAGGTTAAATTAGCAAAGATTTCAGAATTCTGGTCTTACCTGTTTCGTTTTTTTTTTTCATGTAGTATTTGGCACACACTGTGAAAACCGTTAAATTCTCATTTAAACACAAATCTTTTGGTTTCAACAAGCAATCCCGATTGTCAGTTATTTTCCTGTTCCGAAAGTATAAAAATATCGAAAGGTGTAAGATCTCCTGAAATCTTCTCTTTCTATTGACTTTATTAACTCTGCAACGAAATGCTCACAGAACATACAAATCGGTAACGTATCCGAAAGGAAATATATATTCGAACTTCTAACTAGAGACCAAACTGATGTTTTATATAAATTTGACTTATCGAGATCGTTTTACTTTCAGGAGGATCGCCTTCCACCAGCACCCGACGTAACTCGCCGCTTAGGATCTGTCACCCCCCTGGGAAAACCCAGCATAGGAACACCTCCTTATTGTAGAACGGCTTCAGGCACAACAAACAGCTCGAGCACTAATTCGGCGTCCTCTAGTGAGTACTAACTTTGGATTATTTTAGAAAGCGTAATTTGCACAGTTACGTAAAGTATACCTTAAACGAATTTTAGTAACTTAATTTTATCTGTCCGTTGTTCGGGGTTGGTCGTTTACGACTAAGAATCCGAAATGCGTCTTGAATATGCAATTTGTGATATAATAAGAGCGTTTTCTTATTAATAATTACGACTGAAAGTGACAAATACGAGCTCTGAAGACAGCAAATTGTAATAATTGTTCGCAAACGCCTCCCGACGAAAATCGTTCACAGTTGCGGAGTAAATTTCCTAATTCTTAAACACTTTAGGAGTTGGTGCAATTAAAGTTTAATAATGAATTAGCACTTCTGCTACAAACCACGGCATTACTTACAATTCCTTAATTATGCATATTAATATAAAATGCAGAAAATTGTCAGGGATTCTGCACTGAAGGACACAAAACTAAATCAATTTATGCTTCTGCTTCGGTTCGGTTGCAAATTATCCCTGAAAATATCGGCAAACTTAATATAATAAGTTCCGCTTCTCATTAAGAATTCAGTGCGTAAACGTGCACCTTTTAAAACTTCTTTAATATTCAGAGAATATTCATGCAACGTGCTGCGAAGTTTTACACCAAAGATAAAAAATATACAATCGTCGAGGCGAATACACACAAAGAATTTTTTCAGGCGAAAGTCAAGCAGCTTTATTCGATGCACATCCACCACGTTGTTTATTTAAATATTAAACATGCTTTGCATTTGTCAAAAGTTGCCAATTCGCCTTTTCTACCGTTTCCAAATTGATTCGAGTGCTATTTGTATGCTGCGCGACCATGTCAATTTATAAGTACTTTGCGTTAAAATTGGCGAGAAATATTGTATTTGAATAAGAACTAAAAGTGACGTTCAAGTATTTGTCAGAAAATGGTTTCGCGTGTATTAGGAGCAAGTAGATCTGAAAGAATTTACTAAAAACGCAGCTCTGAAAAAGGCGCTTGCTCAACTTTTCTGAGTTTACAAAAGTTGTCGATGTACACATAAAAGAACTCGTTGCGATTGCTCCTTTTATGGTACAATAATTTGGGAAAGTTTGTGGTTCTCTGTAAAACAACCTCAAATCGATGGATTCCTTCTGACAACAAAAACCATAACAGTATTTTTTATCACACTCTCTTATTCGAACAATGGCACTCTGATCGTCTGAATTTGGAAAAGCGATACGAAAAGGTAAACGTTTTACAATTAACATCGTAAATAAATACAATAACTATAGAGACATTTAATGGCCAAATTTGAAAGAAGTAATTGAGGATAGCAGTCGCGCGTAGGGTAGTGGAGGCCATGCTCTACTACGGCACTGAGAGTCTATGGCTTAAAGCATTGAATAAACACTTTTATTCAATGCTTGAATACACATTATGGCGGAAAATCTGTCTACTTAGGTATAAAAGAAAATTAATAACAAGTGAAAAGGTTTGCGGCCTAAGGCGAGTCCCCTGAGCGCATTTCCATGCATTAATCAGACCATAGCTATATGCGCAATGTTTTTCTTTACGATTAGCGAGACATCTATGATTAAAATTTCAAAGAAATATCTCCATAACTAAGAAAGTTGAGTTTAGCACATGCGCATTAATGCTATATGCGATATATTTGTTTTTACTAGAAGCGTCTATAGTTAAAATTTTAAACAGAGATCTTCATAAGTAAAAAAAAGGTGGGATATTGTAGTATTGCAATTTGATTTTTACTATGTACGATGTGTTTGTCTTTGCTAATGACATTTGTAGATTTCGGTTTTTACTACTTCCTCTCTTAGATCTTTAAACCTTTTTTAAATGTTCCAAATATTTTATATAGATAATATTTAAATAAAATCAATTGATATTTATTATAAAATGGATTGGGGTTTGTCAAATTTCTTGGAGTTCTTTAAAGTTTACTTGTTACTCCTCTGGTGAGTTTAAAAAAAATATATATATTCTGCATCTATACATATATTCTACATCTTTACAGGCCTAGAAAGCATTGGGCTTGTTGGATTATCTGTATTTACTTCCTCCTGTCCATGGCTGCTTCTTCCCAATTGCGGATTCCGATTTCTTTTGAGTTTGCTACAACTGCGTCTATCTACTTCCTTTTCGGCCTCACTCTTCTCTTACTTCTCTTCACTCCGTGCTACATGACTTGTCTTATTGCTCTTTCGTCTTCTAGCCTCCTTATTGGGCTCAGGACTCTAGTCCATCGCCTCTTCAGTCGCTCTTCTTTCTCATATATCTCCTACTTTCTTGCCTTTAAATATTCTTCTCAGCACTTTCCTTCCCCATATTTCCAGCTTTTTGTTGCTTTGCCAAGAGAACACACTTCACTCCCGTACGTTACTGTTGACCAAATGTTGTTTTATAGAGTCTGATCTTGGCATTTCGGGATACACTATTTTACTCGAAAATTCGCAATAAGGATCCCACACTTATACATACTATTCTTCCGTTTATTTCCTTTTCGTCCCCCCTCCCATGTTTGATAAACTCATTCCTAAATAGATAAAGTCTTCCACACCTTCTTTTTCATGCAGGTTTTCGTCCTCCGATCTGAATAATATAAATCTCTACACTCTTCTGTCCTCTTTATTTCTTGCACTCCCATATACCCTGTCTTCTCCATGTTGATTCTTAGACCATACTCCTTTGCAACTTTTTCCAATTTCCTTTTTCCTATTTGGTGTGTATGATGGTACAATAAACTTCCGTTTGTGTGGGACTCGCATGTCCTTACGACTTGCTCTTATCAAGTGATTCATTTCATTCTTCACTTTGTCTTCTGTGGAAGTTTCCTTTTGATTCCGTCCTTCCCCTTGATTTTCTCGTTCTTCCCGTTGGTGTTCTGCCATGGCTGGTTCCTTATCGTTGTCCCCTAATAGTATTTCTCTAAAGTATTCCACCCATCTGCTCAAACATTCTTTTATGGCGCCCACCAGGTTTCCTTCTTTGTCTCTGCAGAATAGAGGTTTAGCTTTTTTGCTTATTTTACTTTTTTTTTGCTTCTTGGTGAAAATTCCTAATGTCCTTATTGATAACGTTTTCCTCCAATTTTTCTACTTCTTCCATTCTCTTCCTCTTTTTGGATGGAACAAAAACAAATTCGAAGGTACAATAATCCCAAAAAAACAAAAGACTATTTCTTAGCCAAATTGAAGAATACACCTGCTGGCCAGCTAATTAAATTTATCTTACTCAAAAATATAAAAAATATAAACAAATCTAAATTATTAATTAAACCGTTCATTAATACGCACGATTAAGTTTATTCACCCATAACTCGAATAAAATGGAGGAAATAAAGGTCAAAGTCTGTACCTTATCGTCCCGGAATGTCGCCCACGTTGATTTGGCCTGAATATTTATCTTTGGGTTCGATGTCCCGCCACGCACGCCTCTACTAATATGATTTCACATCGTTTTTTTAGAGTACATGATTTTGAAGAGTCACTCAAACTTATCGGTGTTCGCCCAAATAATCCAATGACCCATATGAATAAAAAGAAGCATATGCTTATACTTGCAAAATTCAAAGTAAATACTCATAAGTGCTCCTTCACATTGGGCTACTCGGCAGCTCTGCACTGCGTCCCGTCCCATGGCTAAGCTGCTAAGTCGCCCAGTGTGAGGGGGCACTTACGAGTAATTACTTTGAATTTTGCAAGTATAAGCAAATGCTTCTTTTTATTCATATGGACCATTGTCTGCTTTATAAACAAAACGCGAGCTTATTATAAACAAACCGCAACGAAAAACAATACCACACTCTGCAATCTTTAAAAGAATGCGCTACTTATTTGGATATCCATTACCGAATGAAAAATTTCCGCTTTATATTGAAATTGTGATCTTAATGATTCGTGCAACTTTGCCTACAATGCACGATCTTGTCTTCTTTACAATTTCGCCATTGATATTTTTAGTACCCGTACTGATATTATAACTTTAATTGTTAATTTGGTATTTTATTATTGCTGTGCGCTCTTTCACAATCTTCTCTTTATTAGTTGGCCCTCAACACAAAAATGGACCGCCGTTTTAACAATTCTAAGCACCGCTTCTTACAAGCGAATCTATCCTTCCTCTCATTCAGAGCTCGACTCTGTCTATCTTTCTTCCGCGCACTTCACCGGCCGGCTGTCTTCGTCTCTACACAACTTTGCGTCCTTTGACCCAATATAGTCTCATGATAAAAAGATCCAAAGACCTTAAAAATCGGCAAAAAGTGGGCTTTATTGACTTTTTGAGCACAAATGGCAGTTGAATTTGCACTTGTCCACGGACTCGTATGGAAATACATTGGTCGACGAGTCTAAAGAATATACCAAAACGAATCGTTGCAATGTGTAAAACTGAAAATTAACTGTAAACATGTCTAAGAGATAGTTTTGTAGATATCAGCAATTTGTTTATAGTCAAACAAAGTTTAAATGAATAAAAATGTTATTATAGTACAATAAAATATCATTAAAAATCTATACCAATAAAAAAATGCTTTAGCAATGAAAAACGGCAGGAACGCGCCCGCAACCCACATGATACACGTTTTAAAATTTACCCGGTATTAGCAAGGTCTAAACTATCAATCGTTCGCTAAATGCAAATTTGGTAAATCTTATCGCGTCGAGTTAGTGATTAGGTACATTAACTACCTACATAGAGCCTCGACTCGCCTGTAACAGTTTTGTATACTACTAACAAGTTACTTATGTTGATATATAAATAGGTTCATATTGAGAAAAGTAGTCTCACCTCTCTAATTACGCTTTTCACTAAAACTAACGTCAAAAGCTTTAGAACTCAAATTATTATTTGCAACCGTAATGCATTAAGTGTAGCTGCATGTCAATTTCAACTTTGTTACCATACCAAAGAGAAGATTCAGAACCAATGCTGGTAATGTAAGTTACACGTGACTGAGGGATCAGATTTCGCAACTTTAAGGTTTGGTGGGTTTTAAAAGGATTCGCC